TACCTTTGGTCGTTTATTTTTGGATCTTTGAGGTTCTGTGGCGCAAATGCCTTTCCTCGTTCGCTGCTCTCGCCCCTCCCCACATGCACACACACCTCACTCCCGTCTTGCTGCGAAAATCTATAGAGGAGACAAATGTGTCTTGACAAAAGCGGTAATTTCGAGACGGTGTTCTTGGGTCCAGCTGGAAAAAACCCCATTCTGCAGAATGCCGTTGAGGCGACAGTTCGTTGCTCTCACAACCGTCAAGTGGACGCCTCGGTGGATAGCAATGCCATTGAAGCGACGTGGGAAGCCCTAACACATAAAAACCGCAGCTGTGGCAGAGGGGAACCACAGAATGGAGGCGTGTACAATGGCCTTAAGTTTCGGTTGCATGGTGTGGCATGGGATGGAAAGAAGTGTCACTTAGAGCTTGGCATGACAGACTACAAAACTAGCATTGGGACGACGAGAAACATCGGCACCTACGTGGAACTCGCGAAGGCAAAGGGAACCACTGTGGATAATTATCTTTCCAATGCCCTGGGTGTTGAATGCTTTACTGTCACATCGGACGGCAAGGGTGTTCTGTTTCGCCGTTCAGAGGCTGTTAGCGAATACGCTGGGTTCTTGTGCTTTCCTGGGGGCCACCCCGAGCCAACGGAAATTCTGAACGTGCAAATTTTGGAAGCAACACGCAGCGGCGGACCCACCAGTGAATCACTTGTGGAGCAGGCGACCGCGTGGTTTGAGTGTGTAAACTCCTCTGCTCTTGTGAGACTTTTTTTTGATTCGGCGGCGATGGAAGTGGCGGATGAACTTGGTGTGGAGCGTTCCTCGTGCCGCAACAGAGGCCTCATTAGTGTTGTGAAAAACGCGCACACCAGGAAGCCCGATATCTGTTTTTGGATCGAGCTGAGTCAAACCGCTTCTGAGGTGGAGGCGTGTTTTAATCGCCGGAATGGCGCAGATGCCTTTGAATCTGTTCCCAACTCCTTGATGTTCATCGAGCTCAACGCCATTGGTACGGACGAAGAATCTGTGAGGCATTTTGTGGCAGAAAACCTGCAAGGGAATATAACGCCAGGGTCGCTTGCATGTCTAGTGCAAGGAATTAATTTCCTTCGGGTACATCAATAACATTCGTGGAGAGGGATAATGGTATGGGGTGGAAGGCTTTACATGAGTTATCCCCGCATAACGGCATACGCATGCACACGGAGCCTCTGGCCAAACGGTTTTTTTTTCCTCCCTCGCACTGTCGGCGGGGCTGCTTGTGTATTTTGTTTTGGTTTTTTTGTGGGTTGGGAGACTGTAACGCATGCAGGCAAAGATTGCGTCTTTCGAAGTGACTACCCACAGTGGCATCATTTCTCCCATTTGGTCTCCTCGTTGGAAAAGGGAAACTGATGGCAGTGGCGCCGTGCAGCACTTCAGACATCATGCTGAGTAACCACCGCAGCGCGACCGTCAATACTCCCTACGTCTGCCTTAAGGGTTGCGGCATCACGCGTCTTGACACCCTCCTCTCGTCTTTTGCTCAACTGCGCCACATGCTTTCGCTCGACCTCAGTGATAACTACATTTCATGTCTCCCGTTTGGGGATGATCTTGCTGCATGTATGCCACAGCTGCGCTCCCTCGATCTCTCTGGGAATCCGCTGAAGCTCTGCCATGAAGTCATTGAGAGTCTACGGCACCTCCGTGAATTGCACTCCCTCCGCCTCTCACTGCCTGATGCAGGGGCGGTTTTGTGGCTCTCCCAATCCCTTCCGCAACTGCGCGTCATCAATGGGGTGGAAGTAGTCTCTTCTAGCGGAAGTGGTGAGATAGGTGCAGCAGAGGCAGTGGATTTTTCGCCTGTCGTACCACCTGCAGGCTTCAGTGAGCGGTTATTGGGCAATTGGGATGTGGAGGGAACACCACTCAATATATACTGCCGCCTGCGGAGAAGCATTCGAACACTCCGGTGGATGCATGATGCCTCGAGCGATGAGGCTGAAGCAGATAAGGAAAAGGTGTATGCCGCATTTAATGCGATGCAGGCAGCACAGCACGTCTCAAGTATCGTTCCCACAGCACCCGCGCCCCACAAGGCAGAGCAGCAATTGTTCAAGCATCTCTTTCTCGAGGCGGTGAAAACAACTGAAATGGCTACCTGTGCTGGTAGCAACGATCCGCAGAGACTCAAAGGACTCCTTGGGACTACGGCGCATGTGATGCAGGAGCTGTATGGTTGCTACACTCGGCTTGCGCCCCCGCTGGGAATGCCAGAAAATCAAAATCAGAAAACGAAGTTTCAGAAGCAGCTGAGAAATGTTACAACTATGCCAGAAACCGAATCTGGCTTCATCAATATGAAACAGCAGCGCTTGTCTCTGCTTTCACTTCTCTCTCTCGTCCAAAAGATGGTCCGGCGGAAGCAGTGTAGGGAAACAGAGTTGCGCAGGGGAATACCGTGGAATGGATGCTGTTATTACGAGACAATGCAGCGGCACATGTTTTTTTTCTTTGCGGAGCAGTATCCTCGCGCAACAGAGGTAGAAATCTCTGCGCATATCACAGAATTCACGGATACCCTCCACTACTATGCGAACGTGGAAAAGTGCGTGGAAGCGTATGTCTTTGCGCAGGTGCTTGACAACAAGATTGAGGAATCATACTGGTCGGTGTTTGAGTCGTTGTGTACGACCATCAGTGATGTTATTAAACGCGTTGCTCTTCCCGACTTTGCTGAACGTGATGTGGACAGGGCGCGAGACACGCAACTTGGCAAATATGACAGATACGAGTGGCAAGAGATGTGGCTGCGTCACTGCGCCCACCACGGATTCCTCTCTAAGGAGCATGTCTTCTGTATCATTGACACATTGATTCCCGAAACACATCGAAATACGACGCTACATATCGACTTGGTGGAAACCGCTGCTTCCCTGATTGCTGCCACAGGCAAGGACAACGGCAAGGACGGTTATCAAGGTCCTATTGTCTCGGTTGGTTGTCTTCTTTGCAGTCTGAGTAGAGTATTTGTGAAGCATCATGAACACTCCATCTATCCTATTGTGCAGGCTTTTCATACTGTTTCTGATATGGAATCAGCCGGCATTGTGACCGTAGGGCAGCTCCGCGATCTCCTGCAGCTGCTCGATTCCCCGGTGGCCGTCACACCGAATCTCTTCGAACAAATGCAATCAGCGGCAAGTGGCACGTTAAGCGATGCCCCTCTGACGTTCTCCGCAGTGGTGGAGGCGACGCGACGGTTGGTGCGCGGGCATTCTTTATCTGTATAGTATTCCGACGGAGTTGAAATTATTGGGTTTTCCCTGTACTGTATATATATATATATATATATATATATGCATCTCTGCCTTTAGTAAAAGGAAAAAAAGTAGGAGCGCAATGTTCTTCCCTATTCTTCAGCCTCCTCTTGTTAAGATCTAGGGAAAGGGTATCTATTTGGACAAAGTCTTCTGCCACCAGCAATAACATTTACCGACCCTGTTATCCCTTCAACGGCATTTCAACTCATCGCATTGTTAAGTAGATTAGATTTTCTTTGCGTGAGCACCCCATGGAGGACTACACAGTGTGTGGCAAGATCGGTGATGGCGCACAGGGTGTCGTTTACCGTGTGAAGCATGAGCCAACAGATAAAGGTTTGGCTATGAAGGTGATTCGATGCGCTGACTATTCGATGGTTAATGCAGCCCTAAAGGAGATTAAGGTTCTTCTTCAGCTGCGCCACCAACATGTCGTATCGTACGTTGACTTTTTTCTTGTGTTCCACAACGACAAGGTGCGGCATGAATTCACCATGGCTAACAAAAGTGAGGCGAAAATCTTCGAATCTACACAGGGTCTCCGGATGTTCAGCACAAACGGTCTTGCAAGCAGAACCTGCAACAAAAGTCAAATCCTCTGTGATGAGAGTATAACTAATCCCAGCGCCTTTTGTATGAGCCCTTCTGAAGTTTGTGTCTGCCTTGTGATGGAGCTATGCACCAGTGGAGACATGGAGGGGACGATACATGATGCAAAGCAACAGTTCATGGAGACCGGGTCACACCCCATTACGGAGGCACAGATTCTCTCATGGATGGAACAATGTGCCTCGGCGCTTGCTTTCATACATGAGCAAGGGTTCCTTCACCGCGATTTGAAACCTCGAAATATCTTCTTTGACAACTACAAAGACGTTAAAATTGGTGATTTTGGGCTTGCAGCTGCAGTTGGACCAGGCCGTATGAGCATTGTAGGGACACCCTTGTACCTCGCCCCTGAGCGTATGCTCCATGAGGTGTACGATGAAAAGGTAGATGTATGGGGATTGGGTGTCGTGATGCTGGAGCTCGTCACCCTTCGGGAGCAGCCAATTAACAGTCGCGTTCTTGAGAACCCTTTGGCAGTTGAGACAGTGGTGCAACAAGTGACGGAAGCGGGCTTCTCTGCCAAGCTTGGTGGCCTTTTACGAGATATGCTTCAGCGGCTTCCAGATGGCCGGCCTTCCCCGGCAGCTATATTGCGGCGCCTTGCTGGTATTAACACAGGGGCCTCGCAGCGCTCTAACACCTCAATGGCGAGTATGTTTGCAGGCATGAGTTGTCCAAAGATACCGACTGTTATATGTGAGCTGTGCGAGGTAGAGCCTGCGGTTGCAGCCTGTGCGAACTGCAGTGCAGTACTATGTGAAGGGTGCGACCGCGCACGACACAAACACCACACTCGGCAAAGTCACGAACGCAGCCCGCTGAGCAACATACGCAACAATCAAACGACTCGTGCGCATGTTCTGAATGAAATGGATACAAACAGTCTACCACCCTTGACTCGTAAAGCTAATTGCAGTGCCAGTCATACATTCTCGAGGTTTTTGTTGCCAGTATTTCGTGGTAACGGAAACTCCGGATGCGGGACGTCTGCGGAGCAGTCTAGCAGTGCTTTGATAAAGAGCATGAAGAACACAGTTATTCGCGTGCCGCAGGACTACCCCACAATTGTTGCTGCGCTAAATGCAGTGCGCTCTATGCCCCACATTCGGAAGATCATGGTGGCGGGTAACACTATTCATAACACTCCATTGGTCTTGGGGGAGGCCCTGCCAGACAATCTAAAGCTCGTCGGTGAGAGCCCTTCTCCTGTTATTGAGGTTGACGATGCGCCATTTGCCATTGAGTGTGCTTCAGGACGTGGTACTGTGGAGAATTTCATTATTCGACACGCCGGTAGACGGAACTCACCAGCTGACTCTCATGTGGGGGAAAAGCATCACAAGAAGTCTTCCCGCCCCATCGCTGTTTCACTCACAGGGGGCGAATGGAAAATTACGAGGTGTCGCATTTCTTGCTGCGCTGGAAGTGGCATCAGTTTGTCCGCTGACACAGAGGCTATCGTCACGCACTGTATGGTTCTCGAGGTCAAAACAGCTGGTGTAGCTGTGATGGAGGGTGGTCGAGGGCTATTTGAGCACAACACTCTCACCAGTTGTGATTTTGCCGCATTTTTTCTGAAGAAAAATAGTGCTGCACGTCTGAGAAAAAACCATGTTACAGAATGTGCAGAAACTGGAATATTCTGTCAGGATGCCTCGGGCCTTGTAGAGGATAACTTTATCGCGAGCAATGGTGGATGTGGTGTTGTTACGAAAGGTTCGGACACCAACATCATTTTTCGTGGGAACAGAGTTGTGGGAAATGCACAGGCAGGCTTTTTCTGCTGTGACGGTGCCACTCCCATCATCACGGAAAATGAAATTCGCCAGAACAAGCGGGCCGGTATCCTTATTAAGGCACGGGCCTCTCCTAAAATTACGAAGAATAGCATTCGCTCAGGGAGGGAGGCTGGCATTTATGTCTTTGAGGGGGGTCTCGGCCTCATCGAGGAGAACGAGCTACAGGAGAACTGCAATGCGGGGCTTCTCGTCACCACTCGAGGCGCACCGCATGTGGTAAAGAACAGTATTCGCGGCAACCTCTATGAAGGTGTGTGGGTTTGCAAAGACGGCGGTGGGACATTCTTTGAGAACGATGTGCGTGGCAATGAGAAGGGGCCGAAGGATATCGAGCATGGCTCTTCGGTGGTTTGGATTGGTAACCGTGAATCATGAAACCGGAATGAGACAGAATATGGAGGGCAACTGTCGGCATATTTGAAGCAGAAAAGACAGAAGGGGAATATGGTGAGGAATAGGTATATTTGTTTGCTTTGTTTCCTTTCCTTTTTTGTTGTGAGACTAAGAAATAGACCTAGCACGTCCTTTTCTTTTGCTTTAAGCATCCACTTCCGAATATCTTTCATGGGATGATAAAGATTTTGTGTGCACTACGATGTCTTTCTCTCT